CTTCATTCTTATAAAGAATAAATTTATCGATTGTTTCGTGTTTATTTTTTAATAAATAAACATAGCTATAGCGAGTGCTATCATCGATAAAAGTAATAAAATATTTATTACCGCCACATGTTTGTATTGATTTAAAATCACAAACGTGACTATGAATTAATTCTAGTGGTTCCGTTTTTCTTTCAACCGATTTGAAAGACGTTTTCGCTAGTTTTGCCTCTACACAAACTCCACATTTGTGATTCACATCAATTGTGAATTTAGGAATGTGTTCCATGTTAATTAATCTACGTATAGAATTAAAATTAACATGTCCTAGTCTACCATGCCACACATTGGAAGACTCAAGCAAGTAAGCAGAAGAGATTTTATTATTATTATTAATAATAGTCATTACATTGAGCTTAAACAACCCATCAACTGCATACCCCTTACCCACATACATTCCCGATTTGGAAAAAACTAGTTTGTCCGACTCAAAGACCATGCGGAACTCATGCTTGTTCAACAAAGAGCCCGAGATCAAGTTTTTGCGTATCTCCGGGACGTACAACACATTGTTGAGAGTCAGCTCCTTGCCCGAAGTCATCTTCAGGACCACCTTGCCCATGCCTTCAACCTCGGAATGAGCAGAATTCCCCATCCACACCTCACCGTTTGATGGCTCAAAGGTTGTGAATAGCTCCCGGTTAGAGCAAATGTGCCGGGTTGCACCGGTGTCCACGAACCACTCCTTGGAATTGGATCCAACGAGGTTGACTTCGGTAACCACAGCCGCTAGGATGATGTCTTCATCCTTTTGCCCACCTTGCACCAAGTTGACTTGGGAGTCTTTCTTCTTCCGTGGTGCCTTGCAATCCGAGGACTTGTGTCCATTCTTGTTGCAATTGAAGCATTTTCCATTAAATTTGGGTTTGGAAACGCCTCCCTTGGGACCGAGCTTGCTCTTCCCATTATTTTTATTTTTGGAGCCTTTTGCATGCTCCACCACATTGGCCTTGGCGCCGCTAACGATTGGGAGTCTCCCATCGTTCTTCCGATTATCCTCTTCAATCCGCAGACGGAGGATCAACTGTTCCAAGTTCATTTCCTTTCACTTATGTTTAAGGTAGTTCTTGAAATCCTTCCAAGCCGGCGGCAATAAATGGATAATTGACGCCACTTGGAAAGACTCGCTAACCGTCATTCCTTCATCTCGAATTTCGTTGAAGATCATTTGCATTTCTTCAACTTGACTCAAGACCGTCTTCGAATCCACCATTTTAAAATCAAGGAATCGACCGACAACAAATTTCTTTGCACCGGCATCCTCGCTCTTATATTTGTGGTCCAAAGCATTCCATAGCTCCTTAGCCGTAGCTAATTTACTATACACGTCGTACAGAGCATAATGCAGCCCGTTCAACACGTAGTTTCGGCAAAGGAAGTCAGAATGCTTCCAAGCCTCAACCGCGTTGAAAGATTGCGCATCCACCTCACCCCCGGTTACTACCGGCGCATCCTCGGTCAAGAAACGTGCAAGACCGAGAGTAGTGAGATAGAAGAGCATCTTTTGCCGTCACCTCTTGAAGTTTAACCCATTAAATTTTTCGGGTTTCTCCACAGAGTTGCTCGGCACGGTCACCATAGGGATAGCCCTTTGCTTAACCAAAGCAGATGCACCGCGTTGTGAACTATTGTTCACCGGAGCTCCGCTTTCAGAGTGATTATCGTTCAAACCGTTCAAAGCATTCTGCCCAACAACATTTTCATTTTCTTGAGAAGTCATTTTTCGTTTCTTACCTTATTCGAAAGCACAAAAAACAAGTTTTAAGATTGTTTACCGTAGTAGAACAATCAACGAATACGTTTTAAGATTGTTGGGTGTGTTTCGAAAAACAAAGAAAATTAATTAATAAAGATTAATTAAATAAAATGACTTAAAGAGAAACAAGAAATGAGATGAAGCAGAATAAGCCAAAGCTCGTGCTACACACGATTTCCTTAAAACGTATTCGTTGCCTCCCGGGGTGCCAGGAGCGTTGCAACGATCGTTTCCCAGGATACGATAACTTCGAACAATAGTTTAGCACTCAAACTAAAGTTCCAACGAACGTGAACAAAAGCAGAACACCGAAGGAGTTTGTATGGAGTGCTAGAGGTGCTGTTTTAGCTATGAAAATACGTGAACGAAGTGTATGAAAGGTTGTGTCTTTGCAAAGCACCTACTAGCCTTTTATAGGGGTGGATTAAGGTGTGTTAATGGCTGTTTAAGGGTTATGATCGTTGGACATCAATGTCCTAAACGTTGGGCATTGATTCCAGTCCTTAAACAACCCAAAACGTTCATAGGAACGTTGGGACATCAATGGCAGCATATAGACGTTGGGCATTTATGTGCATGGAACAAAAATTAAAGTAGGAACGTACCGGAAGAACAAAAATTAACGTTATCTTTAGAAGATAGATTTTCAGACGGCATTCACGTGTGCAGGTCGCCCGCACACGCAAGTCGCAGTTTTTGTTCTTCGGTTTCGGGATTTGATTCGCACCCCCCTGCGCGCGTGAGAGAGCCTTTCCCTTTAGGACTCTTAACTCCTTAGGGGGGGTTTCCTAAAGGGTTCAAATTCCCTTGTGATTTTCGGTGTGGGAAAGAACCCACACTAAAACCCACATTTTCCTAGTTTTCTCCATTCCAACGGGTAAACTTCGAAAAACAATTTCTCATTCACCCGTTATCCGTTTTGAGTGTATTATATATCGAATTGTATCCCTTAGCAAGGACAATCCGAAACCACTTTGACCCGACCCAAATCGAAAGTGGACCCCATAAAAATAATTGCCCCAAAATGACCATTTAATACACTTTTAACACACTTTTTCCAACACTACAAAATGTCATAAATGACATTACTTTCAAAATAATAATGTTTGACTAAAAATGAAATTCTGTCATTGTACAAAATGTCATAAATGACATTACTTCTAAAAATAGTTTTCTGTTTAAAAAATAAATAAATCAAAAGTAATATATAAAATTGAGGCAAACAATTTCCGATCACAACTATTAGAGTTTGGACTTTCATTTCATATCCAATTTCCATATTTAAAAAGTAATTCTTTCATTTAGAATATGGAAAGCTAAACAAATTAAGTGGTGAGAAGTAACTAAAATCAAAACAAAGAAAACAGAGCACAAAGAGATAATTGTGTGGCTTCTGGCTTGATTCGATTTAGGGGAGTAAAGAGCATATATGGGTGGCGTAGAAGTTTTCCCTAATGCTTGTGGCTTAATTGGATTTATGGGGGAGTAGATGCAATTGAAATCACAGGAATGGGGAGAGAGAAAGAGAGGGAAAAGTGTGTGAAGAGAAAAGAAAGTCGTGAATGGTGAAGATAGGACGCGGAGGGGTATAATCCGTAGGCTATCCAAACTACTCCTATTTAGTTAATAAATTAACAATAACTCCTACAGTACTTTAGAGCTTTTTTAATATTTTACTCCTATTTAGGGTAATACTAGCCATGTACTCCGACATCAATACTAGCCATTAATGTTGTAGTTGAATTATATAAATGAGAATTAAAAGTGATATAATGTCTTGAACTCTTTTATTAGAAGAAGTCAATTTGTTTCATTTGGCTTGATACAAAGGGAGGGCGGAAAATCTCTATTTATACTTGTAAGAAACTATTATAAACTATTCTACAATTATTGCATGCAATATAATTAATAATAGGAGAATTCGAGAGATCTCACATTCTAGAGAAGTTTTAGAATTTGTTTCTTCTACATTTTTCTACTACTTGGACCTTTCCAACAACAACTTAAATACATACGTAGTATTAATTTAGGTCCTCAAACATTAAAATAAAAACAAGTTTAATTTTCAACCGTCCCTTGTGATTTGTGAACTTCCATCAATAATTATTCCCTTAGCCAAAGGGTACCTTTAATTTTCGACCTTGGGTCCTTGAAAGCTGGAAATGTTTTCATTCTTCAATTTTCCTATGACATTTCTACAATACTTAGATGATTTCTTATTTAACCATGATGTGCTCTACTTAAAAAATAAAATTTTAAATACTTATAGTTTCTGTAGCTAATTTATTACATTTGCATTGCTTCTAAAGGGACATCCTAGATGGAAGGGTAATATTTTACCCCAATGGACCAAAACACGCCTAAAGTGACTTTTTAGTGACTCAAATTTCATTTTTCAGATCCTAGAAATTAGAAAATGATAAGGATAAATAAGATGATGGTGATCGATGTGAGGTGATGAATATGGTGAGGTGAATGAAATTGGAAGATGATATGATGGAGATGGTGAAGATGAACTGATGAAGTGAGCTAGGAATATGAAAGATGATGGAGACACTAAAGATGATGGTGGTGGTGTAAATTTACAAAAAGATATGGAGATGGAATATATTGGATGTGAAGCTGATCATGAAAATGGAAGAAAAAAGAAAGATGGGATGAGGGGAGGAGTTTTAGTGTGGAGAAAGAGGAGAGGGGTAAAAAAAATTGGCCTTTGTATATAGTGTGCAAGAGGTATACACAATTTGTTTGTACTCCTAACATTATTTTAATTTTATATACTCTCTCCAGTCTCCAATCTCCATCCCTTATAAATTTACCATCTTACTTTTATTTAGTGTTCAAAAAATTTGGCAGTTTCCCTTTTTATCAATTTATTAATTTTGGTTCCAATGATTTCTCCCTCTATACAAACTTTCAACCACACTATTTGACCAAATTTTAAGGGACAAAGGAGTTTTGAATTTCTTTTAGTTAAAGAAATTTCTTGATGCCCTAAATCAAATAATAACCAAGGGTGTTTGTCAATTCGATTTCATCAATTTCAATTTTATCAGTTTGATTCCAGTTGGTTCAGTTTTAGTCAATCGATTTTAGAAAAGTAAAAACGAGAACTCAACCACACAACCTAAGTCTAACTTCGGTCCATTTGTACCAGTTTCGATCATTTTTAGCACTGTTTTAGTCGGTTTTGAGTTCATTCATTTCTTTTTTATCGGTTCGGCTTCAATTGGTGGCTTCAATTGGTTGTTGGTCGGTTTTGATTTCAGTTTTTTGTTCACCCCTAATAATACCATAGTAATTACAACAAAGAGAATAATGATAATCACAACAGAAGTAATAGTATAACTAGTTGAGAAGTGCATCACATAAGGTATAATCAAAAGTGGATTAGGTTCTCCATCACAGATCAGCTTAAGTTTAGTCCCCGTCAATTTTGACATCTTCAGCTATTCTGTTCCTCTCTTCTTCCTCTACAAATGAATAACCAGTACATAAAATAAGAAGCAGATTTGCAAACGTTAGGGTAAACACAAATTGAAAAAACAGCCAATGTTAAATAGTCACCGGAAACTAGTCCCACAAACACAGGCGAATCCACAACCTATGTTAAGCTTGTTTGTGCATACATTGATACATATGGACATCACATCACCAGATTTTAGAGCATAGAGTGTGCCATTGACACTCCCAAACAGATAGATGGTTATGAGAAACAAATTGCAAGACAAAGCTTCTTAAAGCACATCTGTTTCCAAATTAAGGATGTACCACATTAAGACTAGTATTAACTATCTAGTCTGTTAGTTCTGTTGTTCCCTACGTGGACAAATTACCATAAATAGAAGCTTTTGAACTAGAAGGGGTAGGCTGTTATTCTGTTGGACTTAGACTTTGGAGACTGGGCATCTCGAATAGTCCTATACACTGTATACCTTCTGTACATTTCTCCTACATCAATAAATTCCTTCTTGATCTTGTTTCTTAATAATTTCGATTGATTCAATTGTGTTCTGAGTCGGAAATACCAGTGTTCTATCATTGGTATCAGAGCATACGTTTCTGGTGATCGTACCAGTGATCGGAAAAGTTACGTAACATCAGAAATTTCTCCGTTTTGGATGGTCTGGATGAGAGCTAAAATGGAGAACAGAGTGGAAGCCATTGAACGACACAATGCTACCATGGAACGAAGCCTCATTGAGTTGAGAACGATGGTAGAGAACATCGCCGGAAGTGTAGCAGGGATGAATGAGCAGTTCCAAGCGAGAGGAAGATCGCGATCGCAACATCATCACCATGCGAGACATTCAAACAGTCCGACAGCCTCAGGAGGTATTTCCGATCATTCTATTTCACAAAATCATAGGCGGAATGATGATAACAATCGGGTTCCAGTTTATACGGGTAGAAAAGTGGATTTACCGTTGTTTAATGGGGATGGAGCCCATAATTGGATTGTGAGGATAGAAAGATACTTTAGATTGAATCAAATATCTGAGGAAGATAAGGTAGAGGCTTCAGTAGTTGCAATGGAGGATAGGGCCCTTAATTGGTTTCAGTGGTGGGAAAACCAAACTGAATAGAAGAATTGGGAATCATTGAAGGAATCTGTGATACGTAGATTTCAACCTGAACTGATTCAGAACCCTTATGGACCTATGCTTAGCCTTAAACAAACTGGAACTGTGAAGGAGTTCAGAGATGAATTTGAAATGGTGATAGCACTTCAAAAGAATGTGGACAGAGAAATTCTGAGGGAAATTTTTATTACAGGTCTGAAGGAGGAGATCAAAACTGAACTGAAGTTATATAACTCAAGATCTTTATCTGAGATTATGGACAGGGCTTTACTGATTGAGAAGAAGAATGAAGCATTATATTTGAAAAGAAAAGAGGATGACAAGTTGATTGGAAAAGAAAGGATTTTTACCTTTTAAATCTCAGACCTGGGGAGAAGGGTACAAGGCTAAAACTGGCAGATCGTGGTCGAATAACCAGGGTAAAAATGTGGCAGAAAACAAGAGTAACACTTCTTGGTTTGAAAAGGGAGGAAAGAAATTCACTGAAATTCATCCTTCTGGAATAAGAAGGGTGGGACCTCAGCTATCCCAAGAAGAATTTCAAGAAAGGAGTAGGAAGGGACTATGTTTTAAATGTGGTGAGAAGTGGAGCAAAGAGCACACTTGCAAACTGAAGAACTATAAGTTGATGTTAGTAGAAGATTCAGAAGAAGAAAAGGAACAAGAAGGGATAGACTCGGTACCTACTCAAGAAGGAGGAGAAACTAAAATGGAGTCCACATCAATGCAACTATCACTAATGAGCAAAGAAGGAATACCTACAATAAGGGCTTTCAAAGTCAAGGGTTGTCTGAAATGGGAAAAAGGAGAAAGGCAGGTAGAAGTGCTTATTGACAGTGGGGCTACTCGCAACTTCATATCTCAGAAGTTGGTGGATCAATTGGAGTTACCTTTCCGTACCATTTCAGGATATAAGGTGCAAATTGGAAATGGGGAAAAGATAGCTAACAATGGAAGGTGTGAGAACTTGATCTTAAGTATGCAAGGCACTGATATCACATAGCAGTTTTATATACTCAGTCTGGGAGGGACTGATATGGTATTAGGAATGGAATGGCTGACTAACCTTGGGGATGTCGAAGTTAATTTCCAAAAACAGACTATCAAATGGAATAAACAAGGGCTTAACCATTCCATTCAAGGAGATCCCAAATTAAACTCCATGGAAGTTTCATTGAAGACTTTATCACAGATTATACAAGATAATGGAGATGGATATCTTGTATACTGTGAAGGGAGTTTAATAGAGAAGGAAAGGGAAGAGGAACTGGAACCTTTCTGGGAAGGTATTTTGGCAGAATTCCCTGAAGTATCACAACCTTTAGAAGGGTTAACCCCCGGTAGACAATGTGATCACTCCATTAACATTCAAGAGAAGGGGCTAATATTCCCAATATCAGACCCTACAGATACCCTTAGTATCAAAAGACTGATACTGAAAAGATCATAAATGACATGTTAAATTCTGGGATCATCCAGCACAGTAACAGTCCCTACAGCAGCCCAATACTATTAGCCAAAAAGAAAGATGGTGGGTGGATGTTTTGTGGTGATTATAGAGCACTAAATAAAATAACCATCCCAAATAAATTTCCCATCCTTATCATTGAGTAGCTACTGGATGAGCTTGGGGAGGCCAGAATATTTTCTAAGCTAGATCTGAAATCTGGTTACCACCATATTAGAATGAAAGAAGAAGACAGACGGAAGACAACATTTAGAACACATGAGGGGCACTATGAATACATGGTGATGCCCTTTGGTTTGATCAATGCGCCCTCTACTTTCCAAGCCTTAATGAATCAAGTATTAAGGCCTTTTTTGAGAAAATTTTCCTTAGTATTTTTTGATGATATTTTGGTCTATAGCAGATCTAAAGAGGAACAACAGGAACATTTAAGGGCAGTTTTATCTGCCTTAAGGGATAACCAGTTGATGGTAAACCTAAAAAAATGTTCATTTGGAAAACCTCAATTGGTTTATTTGGGGCACATTATATCTGGAGAAGGAGTTTCAGCTGACCCCACTAAGATAGCAGTGTTGTCAATCCCAGATAGCGGAGCGGAGTGGCCAGTCCCAAAAACGCTATAGCGGTATAGCGGATAGCGGGATGACTGCTATTTAGGCTATTTCAAATATAATAAATAAGCAACTGCTAGAAGCATATATAATACATTACATACACATATTGAGTTCAAAAAGTATGATATATGTCAATGAAGGTTGCAAACATCTTAACATTCATAAATCCTAAATTACTTAGAAATACTCTACAGTTCATGAGTTAAACAAAAGATGTTATTAATGATTAAAACATCTTATGTCAAAACATTGAATCAAAAATAAGGTTTTAGTTTAAGAGTTTAAGCCTTGATATATTAACAATCAAACTGTTCCAATTCCAAACTGGGTCAAGGTGTTTTCATGTGGGCTTAAACATGGCAATAGACTGACTGTCTGACTAGACTCCATACGAGAAGAAGAAAAGAAGACTCACTGCAGGTTTGCAGCAAAGGTTGGAGAAGAATGAAGGAAGAGGAGGGGAGAACCAATCGCAGAGCAGAAACAGAGCTTTCTTGGAGAAGAACTCATCGTAGAGCATCAATTGAGTATTTTCAAAAGCTGAAGCCGTGAGCTTTTACGTACGTGTAAGGGTTTTAAGTGGGTTAGTATTTTGTTTTAAAAGTCTAGTTTACCCCTTCTATACCTCTGCGCTAAAAAATTTAACGCCAAAAACCCTTGCAGAATGCGCAGTACCTGTTTACCACAAAACTCGCCGCTATAGCGGCCGCGATAACCTTTCCGCACCAACGCTATAGCCGCTACACCCAAACACCACGCTACAGCCCTCCTGGTAGCGCCTTCCATGTCTGCCGCTCCGCTAAACGCTATAGCGCGCTATAGCGCCGCTATTAACATCACTGTAAGATAGAGGCAATGGTTAGCTGGCCAGAACCCAAAGATTTGAAGGAATTGAGGGGTTTTTTGGGGCTAACTGGGTATTATAGAAGATTTATCAAGGGGTATAGTAGAATTGCACTACCCGTTACACAACTTCTCGAATAGTCCTATACACTGTATACCTTCTGTACATTTCTCCTACATGAATAAATTCCTTCTTGACCTTGTTTATTAATAATTTCTATTGATTCAATTGTGTTCTGAGTCGGAAATACCAGTGTTCTATCAAAAGAGTGCTAGTCGAAAACACATCCTGTAACTTGTTGGAATACCCCATTTGGCCATTTGGAATTTATACCTCTGATCTATTGTGCAAATTACCTATGGAAGTTCCCATAATGAGTAATACAAATGAAATTAATTAACAAATCATATCAAGATAATATCCTCAATTCCCATTTTTGTCAAGTTTTTGTTCAATTATTCAAAAATTGGTTGCCGGAAATGGGAGTGCCGTCGTTACGGCCAAGCACAAGCACAAGACCTGACTGGAATCACTAAACTAATAGGACCCAAGGCTGGACTGGAATAATTTGGCCCATTACCGGAATGTGCCGGATTATTCCGATTTTGACCAGACCCGGCCAGCATTAGACTGAAATTTAATTTTTATTTATACCTTTTAAATGTTTTGTCTTCTAAAAACTTGGTTTTGATTGTCCAAATAGTAAATTATTAGCTTGATGTGTCTTTTATATTTTTGTGTTGTTTTATGAGTGGTCTTTTCCCATGTATTCTTTGAGTACATCCTGGGAGTAGCTAGGGTGTGTACTAGGGCCTGGCCCATCAAAATCTAAAAACAAACTTTCATTTACAGTGCAAAATTTTTCAAAGAAAATTAATTTTAAAATTCTTTCTGCCGGCCCCGCGCCCCCGCCTGGTGTATACTCCTAGCTAAATGTAGTACATCATAATGTTTATATCTACATGTCTATTTATTAAAATTTGATGTACATCCTAATGCATCAAACAAGTAGGAATGAAAATCATAACCTATGTCTAGTAGAAAAGAAAAAATCTTCAACTCAATTTAGACTATATCTAAAACCATAAAATAATAACATTAATACAAGAAACTAATGTTTCTTAGTGGATCGGTTCAATGAATAGTTTGATTCGTTGACTTGCACATTTAAGAAAGAACAATTTAATTAATCACAATATGTATTAACACCAAAACAAGTGAAAATTGTATAAGTAAATAACAATGCATCCACCTAACTCTTAATGCTTTTGTAGACATAGTTTCTTATGAGTAAGTATTTAATTTTTAGCTAATATTCCTAATAGAAGTATAGTTATAGGTTAAGCATTACTCTAATGTTGGGCCACCAAGAGGTAATCTATCATTCATTAATGATATCATGAATCTTTTGGAAAAATAAATTCTTCTTGTGCACTTGGTAGAACCGAAAAACAGTTCCTTGCCTAGGTGGAAAATGTTCTAAAAGGCGCTAGGCACTAGGCGCTAGTCGGGCGTCAGCCCAGCGCCCAACGCCTAGGCGGCTAGGCGTGCGCCTAGTCGGGGACTAGTCGGAGACAAATAAATTGCATTTTTATCTATAGTTTTGTATAAATAAGATAAGTAATATTGTATTTTTGTGTGTATAAAATACATATATACATATACATTAACTAACATGAATGATAGAATTCATGGTTTTGAAAGGCGTTTAGCCTTTACGCACCTGAGGCGCAAAGGCGTTAAAGCGCTCGGTAATAGCCTGGAAGGCTTAAGCCTTATCTTCAGCTAACAAGGCTTACGCCTTTATTTTGCTGAGGCGTTGGAAAGGCCCTGGGGCGCAAGGCGCACATGAGGCGTTCCCTCTTATTTACGCTAATTGGGCTTATTTTTTTAAATTATTGGGGGCCTCAATTTTATTTTCATCCTAAACTGCAAAGTACTTGGTCGTATTAGTCAGCCCTAGGTCCTCTCTTATCCGTTGGTCTTCCACGATATCAACAAACGACTTCAACAAGAGCTGACCACCTTGCTGTAGAAGTCGAAACAACTTCAGGAGGTGTTTCACTGCTTCGTTTAAGTTTTTAATTTCACTTTTTAGTTATTTAAAGAATTAAAGTTCTGTTTTTTGAAACAACTTGAAGTTTTTTCCTCCAGCTGTCCAGCCTTTTTCGTATTAAATTTCCTCCAGCTGTCTAGCCTTTTTTTTTATCTTTGTCAGTTTTGTCATGTAACTTTATTAATGTATTTATGATTATGAAGCCTACCTTTTAAAGTTTAAAGTTGTCAATTTGTCATATGAAACTACTACAAATCATTTAGCTTAGAAATTTAGTTGTTTAATAGTACGCACTTTACTTTGTCCAAAAAAATACTCCTATTACGTATTTTACTAGTTTACATAACCCAAGATTTATATTTTAATTAGAAATATTATAGTTAAGTTCATTAGTCAATACAGTTTGGTTATACTTTTATTTACTAAAGTCGATTATCAATTATATGTTTTTATTTTTTATTTTTTGACTTAAACTCATGTAAACAAATCATTTTATGTTATTTTGACTTGAATATTTTTAGGTTCTTTTTACTTGTGATTTTGTTTAGTTGCTCTATTATTATGAATAATTTGAACTATCTGGTATGTTTTTAGGCTAGTAGGAACACATAATTTTGAGGCTTACGCCTCTTTACGCCTCGAGGCTTACGCCTCGGGAGGCTATCACCGAACACCTCGAGGCCCATTTTCGCCTTTCAAAACCTTGATAGAATTATCACATTTAATCATATGTAGTATATGATAACTAATCACATAACTTCATTATGTTATAAACATATACTCCCTCCGTCCCTTAAAACTTTGTCATCTTTCCTTTTTGGGACGTCCCAAAAAACTTTGACACTTTCCCTTTTAATCAATTATTTTGTGGTTTCTGTTATTTCTCTCTCCTCTGCACAAACCTCAACCACACAGTTTTTACTTTATTATTCTCCGTACCGGTCAACTTTGGCAAAGTTTTAAGGGACGGAGGTAGTATCAAGGTTCGAAATTGCGTATGGCGTAATCGTGGTGTTTTTTTATTATTGCGTATTGTGTAAGCCTCATTGCACAATGAGGCGTAGACGTGAAGCGTAATACATTTATATTTAAAAATATACTGCCTCCGTTCTTAAATAAATGCAACACTTTGACTTCTACACTATTCACATGTTTTACTTTGACTACGTTTTATTTATTAATGTAATAATATTTTTTTATGAAAAAAATATTGTTAAACTTGTCTCATTGTAAATTTTCACAATATATTTTATTTTTTATTAATAGTTTTATTTTATCTTAATTTACAACTTCATTTCTTTATATCCATGGCTAAAGCTAAAGTACATATATCGCTTAGAAAATCTATATTAAAAAGTAAAGTAATGTTCGACGAATCTAGACGGCCTAGGCGGCCGATTAGGTGCTCTAGGCAGGCAACTAGGCGCCATAGACGGCCGACTAATTCACCTAGATGGCAAACCAATTAGTTGGAGCGGCTAGACGAAAATCGGGGTGCCCAGCCACCGCCTAGCGCCTAGGCGGGGACTAGTCGGACGCCTAGAACGATTTTTAGAACAGGGGGTGGAAAGCTGATTTATTTTTCTCATCACATGGCTTTTTAACTCTTTTCTTTTTTTTTCCCAAACACATGCATAAGAATTTGGAATCGAAATAAAATTCAATCTCATTGGTAATGCACATCTAAAAATATGATATGTGTTGTCTTTTTAATTATACCGTTTGATCGCAGAAGAGATGACATCATGAAATACTCCCTCCAGGCTTGAAGACAAGCTTGATGTTCAAGAGAGGGTAATGGTATGGACAGAATAAGCCTTATTATAACAACTACTACTGTTGTTATTATTAGTTGTAGTTTCCTATCAGTTTAAGAATTCTATTTTAGTTATATTCCCCAATAGAAGTAATGTGATAGGATTAGAGTTACTCTGGTACTAGGCCACCAAGATTCTTGGAACTTATATATAGAGATGCTCTATTGATTAAGAATATTATCAATCTTTTGGAGAAGTAGTTCGTCTTGTTCACTTGGTGCACCGAAGGACACTTCCTTGCCTAGGGTACAAAGCTAACTTATTTTCTCATTATATGGATTTTCACTCTATTCTTTCTTTTTTCATCTCCCAACCACACTTTGACAAAATGTTGATGTGTGAGATAGAAAATTAATTGGTAAAACTGTCAAATAGGTCCTCGAACTTTTATAAAAAGTCAATTAAGTCCTTCTATGGGAGGTTCTGTCCGGCCGTCGCGATTTGGGGCAGTTATCGGTGTAATTTTTTGATGAAATTTTTTGAGCATCTTATTCACCAAGTCTAGTTTACTCATACCAAATTTCAGCTAAAAATTCAATCGGGAACACATTCAAATTAATTCTTGAAGATAACTGCGCATTTTTGCGTTCTCGAATTAATTTGAATGCGCTCCCGATTAATTTTTTAGCTGAAATTTGGTATGAGTAAACTAACTAGACTTGATAAATAAGATGCTCAAAACATTTCATCAAAAAATTCGACTGAGAACAGCCCCAAATCGCGACGACAGAACAGAGTCTCCTATAGAAGGACTTAATTGACTTTTTTATGAAAGTTCGAGGACCTATTTGACAGTTTTCCCAAATTAAGTATTTCATTAATCGTTTACAACTATTATTCTTATAATTCAAAAGTATTGATACACTACATATATGTAAATGGACAAAGGCATTCCAAAGGTATCACAATTATTTAAAAACATATAACCAATACCACCTCCATTCTTAAATAATTGCAACATTTTAAATTTTATACTATTCACATGCTCTATTTTGCTTACATTTTATTTATCACGTAGTAATATATTAGAAATTTGACATTTGAAAAATCTTATTATATTCATCTCATTTTAAAGTTTCAAAATTTATTTTTTTTGTTTATTAATAGAGAATAAAATATATCAATGGTCTAATTTTTTTGCAACATGTTGAATTTTATACTATTCACACCAGAAAATGGTAGCATTGCAACTACAAAAAAAAAGAGGAAATACTTTCCAGCGTGGTTGAAATTAAAACTTAAACTTAAGAGATTGAAAGAGATCCAATGTGATAGTAAATGCAAGCTAGAATCTTATGGAGCACCAAATGACCATTCTAATGAAAGAGTTGAAAGAGCTCTCAATGAAGTAAAATTGCAAATTGACATGTTGCGGTTCAAAAAAATTGATGGAAGGAAAGATATCTCACTTTGAGGAGACTGGGTTACTCATAGAAAGGGAGTGACACCAACTGCAATGATCATCTGTTTGCAAATCTTCTTAAAGGCTAGGGAGAAATTGGTAAAATGGATTTATATTCTAATTTCACAAACCTAGATAAGAAAGACATTTTCCCCCTTCCTACTTCTTTCCTATTTCGTAAGCAAACCATACCAACAATTTGCAAAGCAGGTAAAGTGGCAAATGTTCCATTCTAAGAAAAAGCAATAAAAGCCTATCAAGTCTAGTTGATGTGGTAGCCATTGGGAGTGTGAGTTGTACTCCCGAGATCTCAGGTTCAGTTCCTATGTGCCAAAATAAACTATGCATGCGCATTATAACAAGTGAGTATTATAAGGGACGCTGGCAAGTAACCATGAAGCAGAACAAAGAACATACCCCCTAGTTGATGTAGAGCCTTGAGAGTGCGTTTCTCGAGCTTGTCAAGCTTCTTCTGTACATCTCTCCTTAGGTCCCAATTCGGTTTTTTGGGGGCAATATTCATGAAAGGGTCCTCATTTTTCTCTTTTTTCTCTTCGGGTGCGGGTAGGCTTGCTATAGGGTCTTCAAACTTCGGTAGTACTGGAGGAGCAAGTTTACCTCCTTGGAGATGCTTGTCTTGAGGAAGATAATTTCGGAATTTCATTTGGACATTCTTATCACTATAAGAAAAAAACAGCCAACAGCCCGAAGCAATGAAATTTCATAAACCAACAATATCAAGACTCGCGACGAAAATCATACCCCGTATTATTATTATATCATTAAAACCCATAATAGAAAATTGAAATTTTTAACGAAACCTAATAGTAGTGCTTACTATTCTTCTTGGTCTTCGGAAGTGTGGATTTCATTATCATCCTCGGGTGTCTCAAGAAGTTCTTGGGCAGATCTCAGGGCCTTGATCCGCTCTCTACGGGCAGCGGCGGCAGCCTCCATCGAGACTTCGTCCTCACTTCCCATTCTTAAACCTTCCTGAGATGCCCTCGCTAGACAGCACAAACGCTTAGAGCAGAGCTAATACCTGAAATCAATATCCAATTTGATACTAAACTCTCGCCTCTCTTGTAGCCCAATTCCGGAGTAGGAGACTCATGAAAAATAAAAGAAAGAAAAGAAGCAGGGGGATATTGCAGTTAGGAAGAAACTCAATAACTAATAACCGCAGCCCAATAACCAATTAAGAGAACCCAATAACTAATACAAATAAGGTCAAAAAAATTAGTGACATTTTTGTAATTTATGTAAAATCACGGCTTTCGCTAATTGCGTAATAATGTACTTTTAGTGAACATCTGACCTATATTATTGAATATTTGGAGACTAACAATGAGTATCAAGATATCTGTTTCATATCCTCTGATTCGTTTTCTTTTTCTTATATATATATATATATATATATATATATATTAATATTAAGTGAGTTCCAGCTCATGCGCAGGGCACTTTTGTAACTATGCTTAATTTCTTTAGATCACCCCTAGAATGCCTTGGAACTTGCTCTCTTTCTTCGCTTCTTACCATTCATAGTCTTCCTTATCTCTTATCGTTTCCATTCTTTCTTAACTCTAGAGTATCCTTTTCAAAAATGATAAGCTCTTCTTTATCTCTTCCACTTCCTACTCCAGGAGATTATTTTCAAAAAATTTGGGACGAAGTGACAAACTAATCGATTTTGCCCACAACTTTGGACATGCTTCCGCTCAAGGCTTGGAGAGTCCATCCCCGTTAGTATTTTCCAAATCATTTATATTTCTTTGTGACATGCGGTACTTATATCTAAAAATTTCGTCTAAAACCGTAGATTTAGACGAAACTATAGGTATACCGGGCTTTATGCTATTGTCGCTCTAACAATATAGGTACCGTACATTGCCTTTTCACCTTATTTCATGTTCTTTCCATTGTTGATGAATTTATTTCTCAGATTTTACATGAGTTTTAGGTGCGTATAAGGTGTTCGATGAAATGTTTATATGAGAAAAATATTATTTTGAATTGGCCTTTTGGGTCTTGAAACACAATATTATTCCCTTTAAATTCCTTTCAGTAAGCATTCGATAGGTGCACCGGGATGCATATTGCAATTAATTTGATTTTTCAAAAATTATCTTAACTTGAAAGTAAACATTTATAAAATCTCACTGTGAATGCAAAATAATTTGATGCATTTTTACATTTTATCATTAAAAAAATGTGAGGATTGCGTGTAAATGCTATGCTTTCTTTGGGTGTTTTATCATTAATTTAGAAACCGTCTTTCATTTATTTTGTGTCTCTTAGTCATTTTGAGGTGTTATATATTCTATGCTCTTTGTTATTATACTATTGATAAACATTTCAATGCTTTTGACAATGCAATTAGAAAGCTCATACTATATAGAAACATTGTATAGTTTATAAATTAAAATTATTATTGCTCCCCTGATCCCTTTCTGAATATAATTACTCCTGTTATTACTACTGATCATAACAACGAGATTTTGCAGCCTGTGACCAAAAAGGAAATGAAAGGGGCTGTTTTTAATCTCAACAAAGATAGTGCAGCCGGTAGTGATGGTTTTGATGGATATTTTTATTAACACTACTACAAGATTATTAAGGAGGATCTTTTTAATGTTATCCTTGAGTTTGTGTTGTGTCCCCATCTAAGTTTGTTGGACACACTTTGATGGTCCTTATTCCCCACCGTTTTTTCTAAATACAGACCTATAAGTCTAAGTAATATTTTAAATTAAATATTTTAAATTTAATATTTTTCTAAAGTTTTATATATATTGTCACTAACAAGATTTCTGGTTATCTCCATTAATTATTTCTAAACAATAGTCTGCTTTTCAAAAGGGAAAAGAGGTTTCTGAGCATATCCTCATGCTCAGAGAAATGGTTGGCATATTGACAACAAAATCAGGCGGTGTAATATTTTATTCAAATTTGATATGATGACTGCTTTTGATAGAATTTCCTGGTTTTTCATTTAGACCACTCTCAGTCATTTTGGTTTTCATGATCATTTTATATCTCTCATTATGAATATTCTTAAGGCTACCTATTTTTTGTGCTCTTAAATGGCAGTCCTAAAGGTTTTTTTTAAACCCCCTCTTCCCTATTCTTTTCAGAAATGGCATGCCTAATGTTACTCACCTCTCTTATGATGATGATTTTATTGTGTTTACCGGTGCTTCTAATTTTAATCTCCATATGTGCACACCATAACCAATTATGAGAAGGCTTAGAGCATTGCAGGGTGGCTGATTTATAGCAGGTGGAAAATCCGTGTGGAAAAATCCTTAGCTCCCATGCTTGGAAAATCCGTGGGTGGAGTCTGAGTCTTTTAATGGCCTAGAGCATTGCAGGGTGGCTGATTTATAGCAGGTGGGCGGCCAGAGGGTGTACGATGCATATATAATTAGAGATATTTTTTATATCAGGGATCGAAAATTATTTTTGAGTATGTCGATAAGTCAAAGGTGTGCTCAACATAAAGCTGTGTGGCCCTGGGCAGAGATGATGAAAAATGATGAATCTTTCAAGTAAAGAAGCTGATGAATCTTTTATGTAAATTTTATTTACTTCTAATATTTCTTTTCTATTTTTGCTTATTGTTTTGTTTAAGTGTTTTGATACTTTTTCATTTCATGCCAAAGAACATAGTGATGGAATTAAGCGAGGATGCAATTTTTCTTTAAGAAGTGGTTCATTTGCATGTAGTTTCGAAGTCAACCACTTTGGGTAGAGATTCAAAAGTTGTTAGTCATTTTTGGATCACTTTGTCAAGGCGTATGAATATGAATTTGAATTTCATCAGTAGAACAATCCCCAGGTGATTTTGAAGAAAAGCTCGACAAAAAATGGGCTGCATGAAAAAGGGGATAACTCTCGCAGCAGTGCTCCGTCTGAGGTCCGCAAGATATCAAATTGAAGCTTTTGATGTGCTCTATCAACTCGTATTTCTTTTGCCTCATTACGGAGTCCCACATTGTGAAAACGTGGATCCCAAAGTTGGCAGTTTTCATATATAAGACATTATTTTATTTATTTTTTAGAGTTGGACTACAAGTAAATTATTTAAAGTTCTGATGTTAAATCTTGAGCCATATGTAAGGTTTCTAAACATTATGTTACAACAACTTTTGAAAAAACATTCTCAGGATTAACTTCCATTTTTTGATGGATTCCAGTTTTGTTTCTTAAAGGACACATTGTTAAAAAACAAATTGGTGTTCTTTGTTTTCTTAGTCTATTTACCAAATAACTTGGTATAACAATAAGAGATAAAATGTAGTATGTGGCTAAATTTCATTTTTGACTAAAAATGTATTTTTTGATTGATTGTTTTGTTATCTTCAAGGACGAAGACTTTATGTCATCTTAGAATAGTACTAAAATCAAAAATACGTTGGGCAAGAAGCTGGATCTTTAATTTCGAAAGAAGACATCATAAATGATAGGAAAAGTAAGAGTTGCGTAATTGCTGTGAGCAGTAGATAATTTTACTTCAATAAATTTATAAATCTCAAACCACCTTTTATTTCAAATCTTTATAGTTTATACAATATATCAGGTTACAAAGTTTCACAGAAATTCTTAATATGCCAAGGAGGACAGGAGATGACTTATTTGGTAATTCCATTATTCTATTTGTTACAACCTCACCATACTGTTGATATTTTACTTTTTTTTATTGAGATCAATTGAAACCATGATTTCTGTTAAATGAACATTAATGAACATTTAATGAGCATCAGACCTATTCTGCTGAGTATTATGAGTCTAATATTGAGCATCATGATCTCTGATTCGTAACTAATACGTAGTAATTCACTTTTTTTTGTTATTTTTTCATTTATAAAAACTTATTAAATTATATCTACAATCAATTTCTATGTACTTCAATATGTGAATCTAATGTAATATGATACTTTTGAAATATGAATTAATATGATATTTTAACATTAGCATAACATCACTTTGATTGAGCATATGCAACATACACAATGAGCATTGATATGAAAATCATAAGTTTTATTAGTTGAGCATCAAAACATTTTAATTGAAGATCAAACCTCCTATATTGAATACTAGAATCTGCGATTGAGCATCATGATCTGGTATATTTACCAAATAACTTGGTATAAGTTTTTGGTAAATAAATGAGTATTGGTTTTCTTAGTTTATTTACTCATTTAGTTTATAAATGGTGTTCTTTGTTTTCTTAGTCTATTTACCAAATAACTTGGTATAACAATAAGAGATAAAATGTAGTATGTGGCTAAATTTCATTTTTTGACTAAAAATGTATTTTTTTGATCGATTGTTTTGTTATCTTCAAGGACGAAGACTTTATGTCATCTTAGAATAGTACTAAAATTAAAAATACGTTGGGCAAGAAGCTGGATCTTTAATTTCGAAAGAAGACATCATAAATGATAGGAAAAGTAAGAGTTGCGTAATTGCCGTGAGCATTTATCTAGAGAAGTAGATAATTTTACTTCAATAAATTTATAAATCTCAAACCACCTTTTATTTCAAATCTTTATAGTTTAATACAATATATCAGGTTACAAAGTTTCACAGAAATTCTTAATATGCCAAGGAGGACAGGAGATGACTTATTTGGTAATTCCATTATTCTATTTGTTACAACCTCACCATACTGTTGATATTTTACTTTTTTTATATCACAAATACAATTGGGAAGCTATCATTACTCAGTAAACTATCATTTCTTTCTTTTCTAGACATAATTTGAGCATTGTTATGGCAATAAGTTCTTTACTTTAAAATCTTATTCTAATCCCTAATGGGTTTTTCTATTCATTGAAAAAGCTCTGCCTAAAACTAAGTACTTTTCGAGTTGTAAGAAATTTCAGGTGGCAAATGGTGTGCAATATGCATTCAATAGGAAACTTTTGCTGAAGATATATGTAAGATGTACCCACTAAAATGCATCTTCTTATTATACAAAACATGTCATTGTTTATGTGGCTTTTTTCATTTTTAAGTTGACATACTTTGACATGCAGCACATCAAAAATGTCAAATTTAGAAACTCTAAAAATAGGCGAAATAAAAATGCAGCAAATCAAACAGTCAAACTACTATTGCAGTATAGCTCAATTACAGTGAAAAAGATATCATTAGTCCTAATTTTGAAATAAAAATTCA